ACGATTTCTTCATTTTATTTTCTTTTTCAAGTTCAGTACAATCTAATCAGGTTTCACTCTGGTGCTTCTTTGAAATTCTAAACCACCAGCTGTTCTGCCTTGGTTAATGCCATATGCCCTTGCCATGGCAAAAGAGACAAGAACAAGGAACTATAAATGCGGCTTTAGTACCTAATAAGGCACAACTTTGGAGAATAATTTTGAGAAATATTGGAAATACATCCACAAGGGATAAAAACTGATGCTTCAGTGAGGTACAGTACCTCCCACCTCGTGTGAATGGACCAGGCAAATTCATCTTTGAACCAGCACCAATCATTATCATCATTGAAGCACCAATTATCAACCAATCTCAATATAAAGACAATACGTGAACATTCACAGAATTGAAGCACTTGAAGCTGTTAGTATGCGTTTTATCTAAGTCTGTTTATGAGCGCACAGTTCAGAGCGCTTAACAAACACATTGGGTAACACATGGTAACACCAAATACATTCCTACAGTGTGGATTTTACTTAGTGAATGAAAGAAAATCTTACTTAGATGCCATCTGTAAACCATATTTTATTCAATGTTATTGTATGAAAGCTTGTTTGATATTATGGCTTTATTGTTTATAAGGGTTTGTAATTACTTCAAACACTAAGTAAAGTTCATCAAACCACAAATACAGGTTCTAATACATTTTGGCACAACATAACTCCCCCAACCCTCTCAGAGATATGTCCTGCAGCAGATTTGTATTTTCTGAAGCCTCACATGATCCAAAATAATGTTGGTTATCAACATAACTGACTTTACAAAGATAATGTATTTTCTTCTTCTGGTGACCACCAAAAGGACATAAGCTAGAGTTTTAATCTTAGCTCTGGGAAAACACGGCAAACATGCCAAACCCAAACACACTGAAATCCCATCTGAGATATCAAAATTGTAGCGAAAAAGCCCAGTGCCTACTCCAGGCTTATAATTCAGTTTTTAATTTAGGACTTATTATTCAGTGTCTGCTATGCGTTTTCCCGTAGATACTCTGAAACTAATGTGAAAGTCATGTAGTAATGAGTGAGGAAAGAAATATGGAAACTGCCCACACTTCCTCAGAATTAAACTCATTAAAAAGTCTTGGTACTTAGCCGATACGTTGAATGTTGAGTGTTGAGCACCCTCATGTTTAAAACCTCTTATAACAAGTACATACCAACACTATTAGCCTTAAAGTACTCTTTCAAACGATCTGTAAACACTCATTCATGTACAGTAGCAGCTCATTCTGCATCAGCTGTGGTGTTTTTAAAGCCTGCCTTTCAGCCCTGAAGCAGCTGCATAACTCGCTTTCTACTCTTAGCTCCTCTTTATGAGTGCAACACTTTTTTTACAAGAAGACGTGGATGCAAATATATCTGTCTCTCACTATCTCACTTCTCGTCCTCTTTCAGAGATAAAGTATCATCACGCAGCTCTTCAGTCCAGCAGCGTCACCATAAATGCTTCAAATGACTTCCATGTGCTGCACTTTCTAAACATACGCGTGCAGTGAATGGTCAGACTTTTTTGCCCCTTAGAGTATCTGAAGTGTGTTTATACTAGTGTTTACACATTTCTGAAGTGTGCAAAAGACAAAAAATGGATCTACATTTATATCTGTTTGGTGTGGAAAACCTTCACCTTTATTCATGAGTATCCTTTTCACCGAGTGCCAGCAGGATTTGCTGCTCCTGATCTTACACAGCTGATAGAAGTGACCTCTCTAGTGTGCCCAACTGAGGTCACAAATAGGTATACAAACAGATCTTAGCCAACAGTGGCATTTTTGGTTCCTTACAACAGATACAGAACCGACACACCAGTAAACTGGTTTATTCACAATTTAAAGCATTTTGGGAACAATAAGAATGATGTAGTAAAAGAAAATAGGAAACGTTATTAAACAATAAACTGCAATTATATATTTACAATCATTTTCTGTCACAAAGTATTTCATCAGTGAGATTTGGTCTCCAATCATAGCATCATGTTAGAATCATATTAGATTGATATTATATTATATAGATATTATTTCGGTTTGGATTAGATATTATCATCATTATCATATTAGAATCATTTTATATACATCGGGGTCCAGAAGTCTGAGACTACTGGAGAAAATGCTTCTATTTGACATTCCTTTCTAATTAAAAAAAGTCTTTTATTACAAATTGATATTATCAGCATAACAATTTGGGTGGAAAAAGAAATCTGATTGTACAAATGCCTTATAAAGACACAAATTTGCTTCAGTTTTAGTTGAGACCTACAAATAGTGAAGAATTTCAAATCGCAGTGGGTAGCGCTGTCGCCTCACAACAAGAATGGCCTGGGTTCGATTCCCGGCCAGGCGACCAGGGTCATTTCTGTGTGGAGTTTGCCTGTTCTCCCCGTGTCTGCGTGGGTTTCCTCCGGGTACTCCGGTTTCCTCCCACAGTCCAAAGACATGCAGTCAGGCTGATTGGACATGCTAAATTGCCCCTAGGTGTGAGTGAGTGAGTGAGTGAGTGTGTGACTGTGTATGTCTGTCTGTCTGCCCTGCGATGGACTGGCGACCTGTCCAGGGTGTATCCTGCCTTCCGCCCAATGACAGCTGGGATAGGCTCCAGCACCCCACCGCGACCCAGAAGGATAAGCGGTTTAGATGATGATGATGATGTTTTAAAAATTTCAAGATTCTAAAACTTTCTGTTGTTCATTTCTAGGTTTAAATGAAAAAAATACCAGATTTTCAATATCGTATTAGAATTTTGGACCCCACTGTATGTATCTCAACAAATTTGGTTTAATATGTGAAAAAACAATGATTCAGAACTGTGGTGTATGTCCATGAAAAAGCTCAATTTAAATTTCATTACAACACCAGTTATCTACAATGTCAGTGTGAAGACTCACATAAACCCTCCCATATAGTGCATTATGTATATACTATGTCCCAAACACTACTATAAATCCAAATGCTTAGTTTTTTATTATTTTTGCAACAAAAATAATTATGTTGCATGTACACTTGACTGCAACGATGTTGCAGTCTATCTTTCCTCAGTTTGTTCTCCACAGGTCAAATAAACATGTGACGCATTTAAAAAGTGGATTTACAGTGTACAATCATATCTACCAGATTAGCACAACATTTGTCTCTAAAACATCAATAGCGCGTCTTCATGCATTTCCTCATCAGGCCCGCATTACAATCACAGCAGTCTAAATGTCTCCATGGAAGTCCTGGAGGTTTGTTCTTTTGCTTTTGCATACTGTAGAGACAGAAAAAATGTGTGTGTTGATCCAGGTCTACGTATGGAGTCAGTGTGCAGCCTGGGGCCCCTGGCCCAGTTCAATAGGTCAGACATTCCCTCCCTGGCTCCTCTATTGTCCCCTGAGCCATGCAGCCCTGCATGGCCTGTGAACTGAGGCAGGGCATGAAAGCCAGCAGTAGCCCTTAAGCCTTGGGTAATGCGGGCCAGAGCGGAGTCTCCCTCTGTCCGCCACCACTTCCAGCGGGTGGATTTGGGATTAGGCAGCGAGCGAGGATGGCCCTCTGTCTGGAGGTGCTCACGCGAATGATACGTTTAAAGGGAAGGAAAAACAGGTCAAACACAACCTCGCTGACTCGCCCCTCGCCCAGTCCACTTCCACCCTTAGCATGCTACATATGATGGGCCTCATAAATACACACACAAACACATTCAAACACAAGTCAGAATCAGTTCATGCACAGCCTTCCAGTGGAATTTCCCACCTGCTTTTCCCTGCTCCAACACACCTGATTCAGCTCCAGAGGGACTTGATGATGAGCTGATGAAAAGGGAGGGAAAACAGGTGCAGAAAACACATGAGACTGTGCAGTGCAGGCAGGCATACTGGCCTACAGTGTTTAAATACCTGTGCAAACGGCAAAGTAGACATTAGCACTGAGGGTTTGGCAGCAGTTAATGACTTGGAAAATATGTGGAAAGCTATGAGACACATTTACATATCTGACTCAGGAGAGTCTCAAGTCCCAAATATAGACTTTTTTTAGGTGGATGCTTTTAACTAAACTCATCTGGATGATTCTGATTTCAGGAATTTGTTGCAGAAAAGTCCATTCACGTCCTAGTGACATCCCATATCTGATAATAGGTTAACTTGTAAAGGATTAGCCTCAATGTCTAAGAATCACATGAGCTATATGTTCAGCATAAATCCACCTCAGTAATGTGGCAATGGCTTATTCAGACCATGTGAAACATCGTTGGTGCAACCACTGTGTCAATGAGAGAGAGTTCCTCTTTTTTTACGACCAAATTCTTTGCTCTCCACAGGATCTACCACAACAGTCTCACTTTCAGGCTGTGCCTGAAACACAACTACAAATACAAAACGTGATTTAAACTGCATTTTAAGCCGCATACACTCTTTAAAAATATGGTTCTTCAATGTTTCTTTAGTAAAGACATTGGTTCTATTTAGAACCATGAGTTCTATAGAAACATTTAATGCTTAAATGATTCTTTGCATGGTGAAGTGGTTATTCATATTGATGGAGAATGTGCTGTGTATGGGTCTATATAGAACCTTTTGAAATTGGTTCTAATATAGCAACAAAAAAAAAAGGATTCTTATATTGTTACAAGCTTGACATCATAATAATAGCAGAACCCTTTTTGGTGTTATATAGAACCATTTTCCTTATTCCTTATTGATTCCACACTCCTTATTGATCTATATAGACTTCATGGTTCTGAACAGAACCATTCCCTTTACTAAAGAACCTTTGAAGAACCATCTTTTTTAAGAGTTTATATTCACTCCTCTTAAAACAACATAAATCGAACCAGAAAGACATGAACATGATTTCGACCTCGTGTGTGAACACAGTTGAAATGTCGGCCACTGAGTGTTTGTATACAAACCGTCACGGGTGGGCGGGGCTTTTTGGGGGGCACGCCTCCCGCGTTCGGCAGCTGATGCAACCCATTTTGAGGAATATAAACCCCGGAGGCTGAGCCGGTTCCTCACTGTCTCTGAGTGCGGAACCCGAGAAACGGCTCTGTTCATCTGATTCGTTTTCTTATTTATACTGTAATATTTATGGTGTTGGTCTTCTTTATTTATACCTGTTAGAGCTGTATTGTGAGCCGTTCGTGAGAAGGATAAAGCCGAGTGTGTTTTTCATTCATTTTCTGGATCTTTCTTAATAAAGAGGAAGCGACTCAACACTTCACCGCCGAGACCGACGGAACAGAGGAAGGGATTTTTTAAAGCCATTTTCTGAGGTGAGGTTTGTTCCTGCCTTCTCTAATCTTCCTCTCGGTTATTTGACCTTATAAAACAGAAGATAAAATGAGAAAAATGCTTGTTCTTGTCTTTTTTGCGGATAAATGAGCTAAATGATGACATGCTAGTTGATTTGAAGGCGGGTGGTTCACTTTATGCCTCATTACTGAACTGTTAAAATAGAGAAAATTGAGAAATGATCAGCACCGGTGACAGAAAACGAGCTTACCGAGTAACGTTACCTTCCTCGGTGTCCTTCAGATAAGACCGACTGAACCGCAGCCCTCAGCTCAGCTCAGACCACCGGCTCGGAAATGAATAAATTAATTAATTAATTAATAATAAATAAATAAATAACTGAAACGGCGTTGCCGCAGTTTCCTGACAGAAAATGTACATTAGAGGTTAAAAGGGGTCTCAGAAAAGGTACAATAAAGAAGAGAGAGGGTAATTCCTCCTCGTCCGTCGTTTGAGCGGGTTGGTTCAACGGTCGTGGTTTTTTCCTCTGGGCGGGGAAAGACAGACGGATGCTGCTGCGCAAAAATGAGGGCTCGACACTCCTCGGCGCTCAGACACGTGCCTTTGTTTCCCGTAATGTCCACACTCTCCATCTACGGCCCTTTAATAAGACCATCAGTGCCTACATGGCCATCACTCACTCCCCCTCTCAGACTCACTGACCGAGAGACACCCTCACTAACTAGTCCTGAGGTGAACGAATGGAGGAGGTCTGATCTGATCTGAGTCTGTGTGCGGATGTATCTAGTTCGAATTTTTCCGTTCCATCTTAAATTTAAGATGGACTGGGATATTTCGAATAAAAAGCTGGAGGCCGACTTGAGCCTCTTATGTGTGTCTGACTCATCGAGTGTTAATGTGAGTGAGGTAGCTGGTCAGTTATTCTGAGCTGTGTGTGTGTTCGGTCAGTTATTCCGAGCTGTGTGTGTGTTCGGTCAGTTATTCCGAGCTGTGCGTGTGTTCGGTCAGTTATTCTGAGGTGCTAAGCTGCGCGTGTGTGTGTTTGGTCAGCTTGTCTCTGTTACCGGCTCGGAATTTTCCACTGCTCCGCGGTGACGTCGACATAGACCCCCCCAACAGGCGCGGCAAGTCACGTGACTCGGTTCTTGAAGCGGCGCACTGTATCGATCATTTCTCCCTGCGCCTGGAGGATAGAGATTCAGTGACGATGCATGATAAAAAGGGATTTTTTTCTAATTTGTTCATTTTTTGTCTTTTATGTTTTAACTCTACAGAATGAGCAGGACCCCTGGGAAACCAGAGATGAGCCATTTCAACATTTCTCATGACGAAGACAGCAGCAGTTCCAACAGCAATGAGTACCCGGTTTACCTGGAAAAGAAAGTCCCCCTCAGCAGGTACCTGCCTTTCTCACTGCTGCAGACAGGACAGTGCGAGGCTCTGCCACGCCGCTCTGCTCCTGCATGTCAGTCATTCAAATAAACATGTGTGCAGAGTAAATACAGAGTGAACTGATATTCTGTTTCTCCTCATCACAGTCAGTATCCGGACATGGATGCTGAGAGTCAGAACTTCCTCTCTAATTATCCGGGAAATAAGAAGAAGTATGAAACAGAATATGTGAGTGTCTCATCCAGTAAGACTGGCAGCATCTTAATTTCCTCGTGCTTCGGTGTCAGGTTTTAATCAGTTTTTTTCCTTTCCATCAGCACCCTGGCACCGCCTCCTTTGGGATGTCTGTTTTCAACCTGGGCAATGCCATCATGGGCAGTGGAATCCTTGGCCTGTCGTATGCCATGGCCAACACTGGCATCGCACTGTTTGTGTGAGTACCCTTTGTGATTGATGGAGAAGTGTGTGTTGGCTGATATTAGGCCGTGCTCTTTCAGAGCTGGAGTCTTATGTCTGGAATTAGTTAGAGGTTTACACTAGCACAGCTTGTTTTAATACCAGATTTGAGGCACCGATCCCAGCAATTCCTGAAGGCTATTAAGCCTTCCTGGTCAGATCAGCCTGTTGGTGGCATCACATTTATCTTTTTAGTTGGTCATTAAAGTCTCCCTTTTTCTTCCTGTCTGTGGTTTGTGCTGCCGTAATTGAAACCTCTCTTTGTGCTGCACTCATTACTGTATGATGTTAATTGGGGCTGTTAATGAACACTGTAGTTTGTCCCAGTTTCACAGCTGAGTTCAGCTGGAATGTGAGCAGCTTATCTTCATTAGTTGACTTAGCTCTAGAAGAGTGAAGGCTGTGTGGTGCACTCCTGGAGAACGGCCATACTTAATGTGTGTTTACAAACAGTCGTAGTTTTGTGTATAGGTGTGTGTGTGTGTGTAGAGAGGCAGGGAGAGTGTGTTCAGGGCTCACACACAGAGTCACTCGCAGGGAGGCCAAGCCTCTTAGCGACCACGCTAATACCCCTGTAGGCAGGCCAGGGTTTCTGCCGGTTATATAAAGGGCGTGGGTGTGCTTTGGGCCATTTGACGTGCGAGCACATCTTGATGGCATTAACTAAACAAGATCCGTTGTATGAGCCGGTCGTGGATAGTTGACTGACAGTTTTTGCAGGAGTATAATTAAGTAGAGAGGTTTTGAGAGAACATTATTTTTCCACTACCACGGATGTAAAATAGATCTATGTATAGGGATGCACGATGATATTGTTATTACATTGGTATCAGCAAATATTTGTTTTAAAAAAGTAATCAGAGCGATGTTTGATTTGACTCTTAATCAGGACCTATAGTTGATCATTATTGTGCCAAAAATGTCTGCATTTTAGTAGTTTTATACAGCCTGATTTACTGGTTAGAAAAATCTCTAGATATTTTTCCCAAAGTCCTTCTCTGTACATATTAGTGCATCTGTATCTGCATGAACTATTAATACTGTTAACCTAGTATTAAAGGTCATGTAGGGACTTGAGTCAGATAAGAGCTGGAGACCACGGAGCACAGATGAGACTGTGAAGCTTTTTTCGCATATAATCTCTGATCAAATCTCCTGAGAGACTGGGTGGGATCTATGTTTAAAAGGTGACAGCGGTGAGAGGGTAGATGATAATCCAGCTGTAATAGGGATATCGTGACTGGCTCAGACGGTTTTGCTGCTACAGAGTAGGATCCTGACGGTTTAGCTTTCACCTCTTCGCCTCTCGTCTGCTGCGAGTGTCGCATAACCACACTGCATCGCGCACACACACTCACAACAGCATGTGCCTACTCATCAAGCTTTACCGGAAATGGTGCAATCTCTGTATTTTCGCCCATTCAGAGAACACTGCTGCTGTCCTTTGCAGTACAGAATGGGTGCCCTTGCAAAGAATAACAGCAGCAATGCGAGTGATACAGCAGCGTGAGCTTAATAATTTATACTGTGATTCTCTGCTCTCTCTGGCAGCATTCTGCTGATAGCTGTGTCCATATTCTCCCTCTACTCTGTGCATCTGCTCCTCAAGACTGCCAATGAAGGAGGTTAGCAACAAATTCTCTATCCATTTATTATTATTATTAGTGTTTTTGTGTATAACCCATATGATTGTAATTGGTTTTAATGGTGTATCTCTGTCCTCTCTCAGGCTCTTTGATCTATGAGCAGTTGGGCTACAAGGCTTTTGGCTTACCAGGGAAGCTGGCAGCATCCTGCTCTATCACCATGCAGAACTTCGGAGGTAAGACACCACTGCATTTCCACTTTGTCTGCTATAAGTTATGTATGAGTTGTGACCCAAACAGCTTTTGTCCAGCAGAATACATTAAATATTAATCAGGCCTATTGTAGTGGATTATAAGTGATCTTTTAAGTGAATATATGGTTTATATTGATTTAATAGAATTGATTAAAAATAAAATACCACATACAGTTTTGGGAATAGTTTTGTATGGAATGTTTTGTCTGTTTTTAAAACAATTTCTACAAATAGGAGCACTCAAGGATTAGGGGTTACTAATATGTTCAAATTTCTACTTTAGCCATGTCCAGCTACCTCTTCATTGTGAAGTACGAGTTACCGATTGTCATCAAAGCATTCGTCGAAAACAGTGAAGGGTAAGATTAATTTTCATCCGTGTCTGTGTGTAAATTTGTCTGCAGGTCTTCCTTCATAGTGCATGCCTTTGCTGCATTGCTCTTTCAGTACAGTGAGGATTTTTACACTTTTGTAAGCAGTGGTTTCCCTGAGTGTTTTTGAGGTGAAGTGTTCCATTGTGCTGCAGGCAGGCTGGGAGGAGACGTATGTCAAGGGCCCAATCAAAGAGGTCTTTTTAGAAAGCCTTGTGCCGCACAGAGCTGTAGCCTGCAGTGACCTAATGCATGAAAGCTACCTCATGAAACATTCAGAACTCAAAGTTCCCAGTTAATTCAATTCTGCCTGCCATTCCTGAGTGCACTGTATCTCCTATTCCGACAAACAGATTTGGCTCATGGGTTTAGGGCGATTTGGATTTTTGAGGGGTTTTATTAATGAATCCCTGACATTGTGTTAAGTTCTGTATTTTAGTATCATACTGTTGCAGATGATTGATATTTAAATCCACCAAACACTCATGTCAAATTCACATTTTCTTGCAGGGAATGGTACACCAATGGAGACTACCTAGTCCTGATTCTGTCTCTCGTCGTTATTTTACCACTCTCGCTGCTAAAAAATCTGGGTGAGTGTCATTCCAGCATAATAGAAAAGTTTCAAGGGAAGTGCTCTGCTGGTTTATGCCTGAACTTAAAGAAACTAACATTGTATTTCAATTTTACCGCAGGCTACCTCGGTTACACAAGCGGATTTTCGTTATTGTGCATGGTTTTCTTCCTAATCGTGGTAAGTAAAGAGTTTTATTCTTAACTTTACATTTTACCATGTTCTCATTCATGAGATCCAGGTAGATCATTAAAACCTTGGAGACATGTATAGCGGGTACATAGGAAAACAAAAGAACTGTTGAAACCTCGGTGCTACTTTGAATAAAGACGGGCAATCAGACAGCTCATTTACATCCCTATGAGACAGCCCATAGTTGTAGATCCTACGTTGCAGCTGTTGTTCATTAAACAAGGTATCTTTTGTCTGATCATTTTGTCTAACTTGTTTTTGTTCTTCAGGTGATCTACAAGACGTTTCAGATCCCCTGCCCACTGCCCCTGGACATCATCAACATGACAGTGAACAGCACAGTGGAACACATTAACAGCACGGTCTGCACGCCCAAGTACTTTGTCTTCAATTCACAGGTACTGCAGTCTGACGTCTGTCTATAAGATTAATGTGCTAATGTCCGCTCTGCTTTGATTTTGATGTTTAACCGTGTCTTTTGTACCCTTTCTTTCCAGACGGTATATGCTGTTCCCATTCTCACCTTTGCTTTTGTGTGCCACCCAGCCATTCTGCCCATGTACGAGGAGCTCAAAGAGTAAGTTCAAGAGGAAAACAAATACATTAATATGCAGAGATTACTAAGCCAATGAGTAGACAGAGGAGTTTCACACAGAAAGATTTTAGAATGGTTGATACTTTAGCATTTCTAAGTCTCCTCCTCTCTCTCTACAGCCGCTCCCGTAAGAAGATGCAGAACGTTGCCAACGTGTCATTTTTCGCCATGTTTATCATGTATCTGCTGGCTGCTCTATTTGGCTACCTGACCTTTAATGGTAAGCACTTGGTGGCCCTTTAAATCACTTCACAAAATCCTCTCACTTTTGAATAAAACCACATTCAGAAACACTGCAGGGGCTGAGTGTTAGAAAGACTATGAATTAAGAATTTGTCAGATTCACCCATTTTTGCAGATGAAAGGGTAGCAAGTGAGAAGCTTCCTCCGCTGGGCTCTGCTCCAGCAGCCCTTATGTAAGGCTTGAGAAAGAAAAAGGCACTCCAGCTGTCCCCTGTGCTGTTTGTCATGGCAGGAACATAACATCACGTGTTTGCAGATGTTCTTGGCCTGCTTAGAAGAGTGGAAATATTGTGCAAGCAAGGACTTTATTTTTTCCGCCCCCTGCAGTAAAGAACCCAGTCAGAACTGGGTTGTGGGAAACAGTGACTTGAGATTTGTTGCAGACCAAGTCTCACTGAGTGCACATCATCTAATAGTAATGGTGAACTGTGTTTTTGCTTTATAGATGCCGTCGAGTCTGAGCTCCTGCACACATACTCCAAGGTGTACAGATTCGATGTAGTGCTGCTGATTGTGCGTCTGGCCGTGCTGACTGCTGTCACTCTTACTGTCCCCGTGGTTCTCTTCCCTGTAAGTATAACCACACACTATCACAATAGTATTAAGCCACTGTTAAGACATAATACATGGAGCTGTGTCTTGCTAGTTAGGTAGTGAAGCTTCAGCAGGAAGAAAGAGCATAATGTCTGTGTAATATTTGTGTACCAGTGAAAACTCAGGGTGACAGCTGACAACTCTAACTGACAGCTGTTAGCGCTATGCAAATGTGTGCCTGTTGCGTAAGAGCTGGTGTGACTAACAAAAATATGAAACTAAGAAATCTTTCCTCTGGTACTTCAGCTCCGTACCTCAGTGAACCACCTGTTATGGCCCTCGAAAGAGTTCAGCTGGATCCGCCACACTATAATCACTTTCGTTCTGCTGAGCTTCGTCAGTGTGCTCGTCATCTTTGTCCCCAGCATCAAGGATATCTTTGGATTCATCGGTAGGTTACATCTACAGCACAGCCACAGTGCAAATAAGGGAAAATTACAAACTTTTATCAGACAAAGCCATAACTGTTTTCAATTGTGAAATACATGTAATCTGTTTTTTGAAAGTAGTCAACAGTATACTAGAGCCAGCTGGTGAAGCTAATACAAATATGTTCCTTTTCAAGGTGCTTCTGCTGCTGCTATGTTGATCTTCATCCTGCCCTCTGCCTTCTACATCAAACTGGTGAAGAAGGAGCCCATGATGTCAGTCCAGAAGATAGGGGTAAGAAGAATATGATGACTCTCACAGTAATAACAGCGAAATTAGCAATTAATAACAATACGCTATGGCAAATTTCTTTGAATGAATTTGTCATAAGACTAAAAAACAGTAAGGCTCTACGCACAAAACCAAAAGTAAATGTTAATGTTACATGTAAATCTTCTAAAAGGGTGTGTACAGTTTGTTTTATGACATTATTAACTAGGATGTTTGATTAATCCCGTCTCCTTTTGTTGCTTGCTGCAGGCAGCCGTGTTCCTTGCCGGCGGTTTCATCGTCATGTTTGGTAGCATGACGCTAATCATCCTGGACTGGATCAACAACGCTGCTGGTTCAAAGGCCCAAGAGAATGGTCACTAAGGGGCACAGTCCCAGCGCAAGTGACAGGCAGGACGGACACGTCTCCAGCGTCTCTGATCCGCTGTCAAGCCCGTCACTTCTCTGATCACTAAAACTGTAAATGTACACAAAAGAAAGTGCTCTTCTTCCAGCTCAGAGCAAAGACCTACATACCATTCTGAGAGAATGTCCTGAACTTTGTACAGTATGCTGTTAGACCACAAAGATGGTGATTTTTTTTCTTATATTTTTGTTGCTGTGATCAGTTTTTCAGTTGTTTCCTGCTCTTCTGTCCTTTTTTTTAGTATTTCTTGTGCAGTTGAAACATATGGCAATTGTTTCACAGCATTTGCAAACATCTTGCAAGTGAGAGACTAGCTCAGCGCAAGATTGCTTCAGGTTTAGCTTTTCCAACTTAACCAAAACCCAAGCAGCTCCGAGCCACAACACACGAAGCAGTGGCAGACTTACTTTACCTGAGGCTGACGGCCTGGCTTTTTGACTTCTCTTTTTACCTTTGCCAAAAATATTTCCTACTGGTTTGTATATTGAAAAGCACTTAATATTCAGCACATATGTGAACGTTGTCAGCTCAGACATCACAACACTGCTTTGAGTATTTGTTACGATGCCATTTTGACTGTACTACTTTAGTCATCTTTACTTGTTAAAAAAAAAAAAAACTTGCTTAGATCTACTAATGAACAAAGTGCATATTCATAGTTGTTCACCTGAGGTTATGGTTAGTGAAACAGCGGAATGGATTTACTGTAACGCACACTGTAATCTTATTTAAGAACTAGGCAACATTTTTTACAGCAATAACCTCTTTGCTCAAAAGGCAAGACTGAAAGTTTGATTGCTGTTCTTCTCTCAGAAGGCACCAAAGTTTTTCTTTAGGGAAGAATGCAATTTTATTTTAGCCACATACAGTGGTTGTACAGTATTGATGAACCTTACCTTAAAATTGTGTATGCTTTTTAAAGGCAGAGCCTCACATTGCTGAAAAGACGGTACGTTACAACTTCTCAGGCGGAGTAGGGGGAGGAGTGGGAAAAGGTTTTCTGTGTTTGTACGACTTCGCTTGCCGTCTCAGTGTTAGCCATCGGCAGCTTAATGTTACTTTGCTCGTTCACCTGAGGAGAGAGAGAGGGAGATGGAAAAGGACAGAAAACACAAAAAGGACAAGAGAATTGAGATGACAGATGTCACGTCCACTGGTCAGTGTCATGAGCCCGTTGAGTGAAATAGCTGCCTGCATGCAGCCTTGACACACTAGTAAAACCTCACTGTGCTTCCAATCGCTAACCTCATATGTCATCTAAGACGTTATTGTCCAACACTTATTTATGGAAGAACATCAATGTAATTTAAACTATTTTACTATATTTATATATTGTAAATATCTGTATATACCAGCCAGCTGAAGTGTGTGTGTGTGTGTATATATATATATATATGCGTTCCTTTTTTTGTCAGTTTTGCTCAATATGTTTTAACTATGAAATCAACTGTTGAACTGAGTGGTCTCATACGTGTATTGCCAACTGGTTTTTGGGGTACGGATTTAGATCCTTGATGGGCTTCCCTCCATCACTGGCTGAAAATGAGGGACTGCATTCTGGAGTGGTTTCCTGAACAGAGCACGGTTCCCCCCTACTCTAGCAACTTGTGGGTTGGCTGTGGCACACATTTTCTTTACACTACTACTAGACTGCTGTAGTTACGAGAGGGCTAGGAGAGCGTCCCTCCAGGCCATTCCTACAAGTGCTACACTCTTGTTTCAATGAAACACTATGTATATCATGTAATTAATGTTCATTAAAGTATACTGATAACACAGCCTGAGTGTGCTTGGTCTCTTTGGTTTATGGGAGCTGGACAGACTGGGATAGTACACAGACCCTGACTTAGCAAACTGAGTAAATCTACAATCAGGACTTTTATGGACCGAAGAAAGAATGTTTTCCAGATCTGAAGTCTGAATGTTGAGTTTGCATGACCATGTACAGCCTATAGATTAAGATACACAAATGCAACTGATGATTAACATTAATACACACTGTTACGTATGACTGCACTCACTGGAACTTAATATGTACAGATGTGTCCACCCCCTAAAATAAACACTGCAGAGAACACACTTCTGTACATTTTAATGCACAATTACTGTTTGTTGAATTTTAGCATGTTGGAAAAATAAAACATAAAAAGTGGCCTCTGCAAAAGTTATGGCACATTTTATATTTTATATATACTTAATATCATTTTATATTTTTCCAGTATGTTGAAACAAACAAACATTTGTTGGCAAATAAATAGAAATTGTGCACTATTTTTTAAGAAAAATGTCATGTTTAAGATTGTAGAGCGTGTGTTAACTAATTTTCACTGCCAAAACTTTTAATTTGACCAGTCATAACTTTTGCATTTGACTGTAGGTGTGCTATGTAGATTTACAATTACTGACTGTAGCTCATCTGTTACTGCACAAGTTATTAGGCCCCATTCATCAGTAGAAACTGACCACCGTAGGACCACCACTGACCGGATATTATTTGAGCAGTGGTTCCCTTCTCAGCATAACACTGACTTCAGCATTTACATTTATGGCATTTGGTAGACACTCTTATCCAGAGCGACTTACAATTTGATCATTTTACACAGGTAGGCGAAGGTAGTCTTAGGAGTCTTGCCCAAGGACTCTTATCGGTATAGTGTAGAGTGTTTACCCAGGCAGGAGATTGAACCCCAGTCTACAGAGTAGAAGACAGATGTGTTACCCACTACACCATACCGACCACATTGCAGTGGCATGGTTATGTATGATGAGCTGGTATGAGTTTCTCAGACTCAGCAGTGTTGCTGGAGTTTTTAAACACTGTGCCCACTTTAGTGAAAACATCTATTTTGTTGGTCCACTTTGCAGATGTACAATTAGAGATTATTGCTCTTCTTTTTCCATGAGTAATCTGTATTAGTCATCCTCTAGTCCTTCATCAGTGGTCAGGCTGGATATTTTTGGTTGGTGGACTATTCTCAGCTCAGCAGTGACACTGAGATGTTTAAAATCTCAGCCTTGCTGCTCTCGTACTTGCTACACGAACATGCTGAGAATGATTCTCCACCCAAATAATGTCTGGTTAGCAGTGGTTCAGTAGTCTCTTTCCAATGGTGGGCGTGGTAGAGGGTTAATGAAATCATGCAGTACAACAAGGTGCCAGCTTGTTCTGGTTTGAGGGACTTGTGTGTACTATCTGATGTGAGTGGCAGTGGGTGCAGTCACCTTCTCTGCCGACCTGATTTAGCAGTCAGGTCCACAGAGGTGGTCAGTACTTATAAACCTAACAGTAGGCATTGGTATATAGTAGGTGTTTCTGATAAAATGGCCAGTAAGTGTAGATACAAGGCTATTGTACCTAATGACCTTGCAGTATAACATACAGTACTGTGCAAAAATCTTAAGAACCTAAGCAAATTGTTTGAAATCCTTTGTCTCAGTAGTGTGCTCTATGTGTCATTAAAATAAATTCTAATAAACATTAATGCAGTCAAAAGTAACAAGGATTTCTTGTTTAAGAAATTGTTGTGAACTAGATAGAAGAACAAAGTTTGGACAAAGTTCCCTGACTTCAACACCCTCAGCCATCGCATAGAGCAAATAGCTTTAAATCCAGACCTCAAATCCAGTTTCCAGTCCTGGATTTTGTAACTACTGGTAGTTGAATGAACCTTTGATGCAACTGATTAGCCACCTGGTGTCATTCCTACCAGTAATTATAAAATCTAGGAGCGGATTTGAAGACCTCTGATATAGAGGGCTCAAATCCACCACCAGCACACCAGATGTAATTTAATAAAGTGTTAATTTAGCCAAACTAGATACTGGATAACAACTTCAAATGCTAGGCGTGCTCAAGGAGAGGCTTGGAAATGGTCAAGTAAAGACATTAACATACATAAAATCACTACTTATTGTATTAATGTTGTTGGTATGTATTCAAATACTCATTTCTCTGGACAAATAAACACTTATTGCCCAATTAAGTAGACTTTTAAAGGGCCCATATCATGGAAAAGCATGTTTTCGAGATAAAAGATTCTGACGTAATATATAAACATTATTACATTTTCAAAATGTATCATTCATTCTCTGGTCTATACAGGCCATATATGGTAACTAAGCTTCAAAAACAGCCCATTTAGAATTTAACTTATTTAAATATCTGTGGTCACAAAACAACACATTTACACACATCCATCTATTCGGCCTACAGCAGTTTAGCTCCACCTATTCCTGTATAGGTTATAAGCAGTGTTTCAGCCCAGACTGCTTATTGAATGAGGTGCAATACCTCATTTACATATATGTCTTAAAGGCATGGTTCCAAAAACAAAGTGTTTAATTCTAAGGGGTAAAGAGAGATTGGAGAATGGTCACAGAAAACATGTACTATAACTGTTTTCAGTGCATAAAAAATGCTGTAATTGGAGTTGAGGGGAAAAAACAAACTACATATAAAAGTTGAGTGTTTTAAATACTTTTCACAGCTGCCTAAAACTTTTGCTCAGTACTGTACGATTCATAATATACTGCAACACAAAATGTAGCCTCCACTGCGTATCATTATGTGCAGGTTGTAGGAGTTCAGGACATCATTTATGGTTGAGTAAGAAGAATAGGGGAGCGTAGGTGTGGTGCGGCTGATCTGAAGCTGCTGATCTACCTGAGCAACATTCTTTAAAAACAAAGCCTCCTAAATATTTCTGGGCTTGGACATACAGTTCCAGGAAATCATTTATACATGGCATCAGTGCCCTTTTAGCACTTTCATTTTTAAGGATGTGTTTTTTTAAAGCTGTTCAGGTGCCAGCTTGTTCTGCTTTGAGGGACTTGTGTGTACTGTCTGATGTGTGTGGCAGTGAGTGGGTCTTTGCAGCCACTGTCTCTTGCAGTCTCCTTCTCTGTGGACCTGATTTTGCTGTCTGTCACTGGGGTACTGTGGTATGTACTGTGGCTATGCATAGTCCAACCAGACTATGAAAGGAGGCTGGTGTGATGTTTTATGACAGCTTTGGGGAATCATACTAGTATGGGCTGGAATGTTCCAGCAGCTGCTGAAAGACAAAATGCATCACAGGAATGTAAACATATCAACCATGGCAACAAAAGGGCGTGACGACATTGACATTACCAGAAGCCAATAATCATTTCCGCCCTCTCCGTACGGTTAGGTTCTGGCATGTTATTAACACACTAAGATGCGAGACATGACACCTCACTTCTACACTTCATGCCAGTCGGTCATTAAGAATAAGAGAACTGGATCTCCTAATTTTCGTATTTGTGATGGTACAGAGAACTGAGGAGAAAGCTCATAGCTGAAGGAATGTTCAGCTAAGTTTGGAGGAAATGGTGTAAATGAAATCTATTGGTGAATTCTGTCTTCGTGAGAGTTACTCGCCTGTGTGATTTGTTTCCTGTTTCTCTGGAAACAATCATTTACATACATTTAGAATGAGCAGTAATGCCAGGATCTTTATACTGAATGATGACTCAACCACAAGGATTCTGGCATACATGCCTCTGACATACAGCACTGTGCAAAAGACACCCAAACACATTGTTTACAACAACTGATCTTGGCAATAAGAGAGTTTTTGCTTCTAAAAGCACCACATATCATTAGAATAGATGCAAAAAAGGTAAAAAGTAACATGGAATTCTACTTTTCATAAAGTACCTGATATCTCATGAGCTAGTCTAAAGAACAGAGTTTGGGTCCAGGTTACTCCCAGATGCTCCCAGCCATCATAATGATTTGTTAAATTCCATCAGCAACACTGCTGATTTAATTTAATGAATTATCGATTAACCAAACCAGGTACTGAATGATAAATACAAACACATTAAGCAACACAAAATCACCACTTATTGTAATAATGTTATTCATATTTATTCTAATAGTGATTTTTCCTGAGCAAATAAATCAACAGCCCAGTTAAACAGCATTTTAATTCAAATTTTCTCAGACGCCTAAAAGTTTTGCACTGTATGTTTTCTGCAGTATGGGTGGACGACGGCTGCAGCTGTTACAATATAAACAATTCTTGGAACTAAGACATTAAAAAAGGATTTGAAACGGTAAAATCTCAAAACTCATTTTTTCACATATGAGGTGATATGATTTGTATGACATGAAGCTGAGTGTGATTTCTATTAAAGTCATCAAAATGAAACTTTCAAAAATTAGTGCATTTATACTATAGACTCTATATAAGATCTGTTCAACAAAAATGATTGTGCAGATCTTTCTTACTTTAACTGACATCATAATGTAAGTTAGTGTGAGCCAGCACTGTGATATGGCTATTGCTATTGTTATGGTTAATACTTTTTATGTTAATAAAATGTGGGTTGAAAATCACTGTGACTGTGACATTAGCAACAACAGCAATAAAACGAATAAGGGACTGCATGAAAGGAATACAGGCTCGAATAAAATACAAACATTACACACTTACAATTTATACAGTACAAATACCACCAAACTTCTTTTCACACTGGGAACTAAAATACAGTGAATACATGATAACAGGCACAGTTCTCTTCCTGGAACTGATACATCTTTGGCAATCAGATTGAGGGCACACACATTTACACACTCTTAGTGCCAAAGCTCTGTGAGCCAGTGAGACACGTGCTCTTCTTTAGCATGAACATCAGAGCCCCCTGCTGGCACCTGTTTTTAAGACAATCTGACAGGTGTAATGAGAACAATAACGAAGTTTATTCATCAAACGCTTCACATTTATCCCGAACACTGATTTGACCATATTATAAAGACAAAAAAGTAGAAGGGGGCAGAATACCACTTGGGAGCAAGATGTGTCCTATTTATTATCATTTCTGTTAACACACTATGAAAACAGCTTATTCATGTGATCTTAGAGTTCAACAGAGGTAAAACCAAACATTATAGCATCTAGGCCAGGTCACTGTAGCTGATCAGAATGATCAAATAAATAAATAAATAATCAAACTAAATAATAATCATTACAAAATAGTTGCATGTTATAAGAGTCTACATTATTAGATTAGTATTGGGTCAAAGTGCATCCTTTTTGCTCGGTTTGCTACAGCTATGAGACGAACAAACAAGTCTCCAAAAACAAATGACACATGACAAAAAGGACAACATCTAAGCAGTTGGCTGAAATTTAGTGTAACCCTCTAACTTCACATTTCTAAATGTAGTCTCACTATACTTTTTGTGGTGGTGGTCCTTTGAAGAACTGCACACTTCCAGATTTGTAAAAAGATCTGGTCACATGTTTTGCATTGGTGCACTGTCTTTATATCAGTCCTGTAAAAGTGGGTTTGTTTAAACATCAACTCTGTGTACAGACTAACATAATATCCAGTTGGTTTTTAATAAACAGCATTTTGAGTTCAGCAAAGTGAGAAATCAGGTGAAGTTATGCTGTCCATTAGGGTAAAACAGACACTTACATACACATTCAGGAAGAGGTCATTGTTGCTTCACCCACAATCAGCTTCTGTGTTTGGTATTTTTAACCAACTAGAAAAGCAGCACTGATGTGCCTCAGGGTGGCGCTGTAGTAAACTGGTTCACCCAGCTGGTCTTTCATACCTTAGCAACTGTAACTATGCCCTGAAACACTTTACCCATACCAATTCCATAGCATATTTGCAAATCTGAAAACTTGCCCAATTTTCCAAGAGACTGGAGGAAAGAGTGAACTGTTACTCATTTCTCAAACTGGAGACAGAAGAGGAGAAGTGTAAGATCTCAGTTAATGTGTGAAAGAGCACATTACCAAACAAGAAAAGAGCATTTCCAGACAAAGAATTGTTAAACCAATCAGCACTGCTATGGCAAGTGAGTTAGCAGCGCGCCAACACTGGAGAAGCCAACATGGGACCCGCTGAATACAAGGGGGTATTCCGCACACTGGGCAAAAAGTCTAAAATGTCTATATACTTAATGTAGTTGGGAAAAAATATTATGCTGATTATTCTTTTTTCCTTAATCAGGTGTGGAAAAGTACAGGAAATCTGTTTTAAGTGAAAGTATTGGTACTGTGTCAAAATTTTACTGGGCAGTATCATTTTACAATTCTATGAATCAGGTTGAATGTTTTAGTAAAATCAATATATTGAAATACACATGCGCTCAACCGAGTTCTCTGAAGGTCTAAAGGAAAATGTGTTTTCCCATGGACATGTAATCAAGCAAAGCATCAGCGTTCAGTTTCAATGATACTCAAGTAATGTACAAACTTTCCAAATAATTTCCCAGAAATATTTGAGTAGTAACAACGTAGAATTATATTCCCATCACCGTCTAAGAACAGACCTGATGAACAACAAAAACTCTTCATAAACATATACATGGGACACAGCTACATTACACAGTCTCTGCAGCCTTTCCATTGGTCGAGAGAAAGAGACTTTTTCGCTGATGTAATAATGAGCGCGCGCTGCAAAACGGCCGTCTGTGAAACGTAAAAGACGTTGCGACGGTTTTCTGAAGCAGCCGCTCATGTCTGGATCTCGTGTTTGTCCGTCTGCTGACGTTCCTCCGTTCGACCGTTTTTGAAGGTAATGTAGATGTGTATTTCGCTGCCCCAAATCCTCTGTGTCTTACAAAAAACATCAGAAAACACCAGCACTGACACGGTAAACAACACCGCCTTCTAAGGCACTGACTAATGAGACAGCGCAGGCCGCAAGGCGTCGAGACAGCAGCCTTTAGTTTAGGACTCAGCCGACGTGTAGAGCGGAGTCTTCTGGGTTTGCCAAACACTAGAGGGCGTTCCTGAGCGAGTCCAACATAAATGGGTGAATATGGAGCATTTGAGCAAAAAGTCAGCTCGTAAATCCTCAAACATTTTATATAGAAGATTGCATTTATTTCCTGAGCACAGAACAGCATAAAACACTGCTGTAACATAACAGCAGGCTGTTGTTATATTTTGACTGCTTTTGAGCTCCAGTTATAGGACTTTATAACAGCCCCTCATGTAGGCCCTGTGTTCCTGACATCAGTGAGCCAGGACCGCTTCAGCTGCTCCGCTCGCCAACCAAGCAAAACTCAGCAGCACTAATGCCAACCAATCAGTACTCTGTATCATTAATGCCAACCAATCAGGGCTCTGTATCATTAATGCTAACCAATCAGCACTTGGTATCGTTAACGTCAACCAATCAGCACTTGGTATTGTTAACACCAACCAATCAGCACTTGGTATCATTAATGCCAACCAATCAGTACTCTGTACCATTAATGCCAACCAATCAGTACTCTGTATCATTAATGCCAACCAATCAGCACTTGGTATCGTTAATGCCAACCAATCAGTACTCTGTATCATTAATGCCAACCAATCAGGGCTCTGTATCATTAATGCCAATCAATCAACACTCAGTAGCAGTAATGCTAACCAATAGGAACTTGTTATCATTACTGCCAACCAATCAGCACTCGGTATCATTAAAGCTAACAAATCAGCACTTGGTATCATTAACGCTATAATGCTACTGAGTGCTGACTGGTTAGCTTTACTGCTACTGAGTAAAACCCATTTGCTGTGGAAAAGAGAGCATTTTTCCTTTCCTTTTTCAGTGAAGTACCTCCTCCTACTTTGTAAGACTAAAGGACGGTCCTGGATAAGTGGAGTTTAACTGTTGTTTTCAGCCCTTTAGCTCCATTCACTCCCATTAATTGAGGACTCGCTCGCGGGCGCCCTCTGGCGGTTTGCAGTGATGTTTCTGATATAGCGGAAAGTCAGGTGAACACGGCACTCCCCTCAAACCGGCTCTGATCAAAACCGTTCTGACGTGATGACGCACGATTCTCCCATCACCCCCCGCAGACTCCTGCAGCGCCCCCCTGCGGCAGAGACACACACCTACAGCTAGCTGACCCACATGTGGCTAGGAAGGTTTTAAACCCGTAGCTACTGAGCGCCGCACGGCTCCATGCGTTCAAGCGGACCCTGGTGCAGTGTGGCGGACCGCATGCTGCTTTAACGGAGCGGGAGTGAGTTGGCTGTAACAGGCGGAGCCCGAGGCTGAAGGTACCGAGGTAAGAGCGAGCTGCGGCGGCTGCTGACGACGAGAGAGAGCGCCGCTAACCCGCTGCTAGCGAGCGGATAAAAAGTGTCCTCGGCTAGCGACTTTAAAAGTTAGCTCACTTTAAAATAGGGCTGTAAATGCCAGCCAACACCGCCGGCTCCAGAAACCACCCACTCTCGGCAGACGTGTCCGAGCTCATCGCACTTAAGTGTGGAGGTTTAGTAGCAGAGTTTAGCAGAGCCAGCCGAGTCTGCAGCCTGACCGCCGATACTCGCCCAGCTCAGCACACTGACGGGCGACGAGGCTTTAGCCGACTTAGCGTTAGCTTCCAGTCCGCTCTCGACGCAGACAGTCTCCTGTTTCTCGGTCCTTCGGTGTCGCTAAACTCGGCCAGGTGTACCTCGGGGGTAAGCAGCGTTAGTTAATCGTTGTGTTGGAGATGACCGGTGTGCAGCTGGCGCTGGCCGAGCGCTGTCCTGGCGGACTGTCCCAGCTTTAGCCTCAGGAGAGTGCCGAGTCTGTGGTGGTGAGGCTCGGGCCTAGCGGCGGAGGTAAAAGGTCATGTTGATATGTGGCAACCAGTGCAAAGTTTAAATACTCCCACAAAAGCAACACGAGCAGCGGTGTTTTTCATTTATTCATTTTGTTAACAAATGCCGCAGTTAAACCAAGTATTGGTTGTTCTTTTAATACAAGTGTCGGGCTGTTCCTGTAAACAGTAAACTTAGCTAAGCGACTACCACCAGCTTAGCAGCTAGCTTAGCTAGCTAACCTAGCTAAACAAACTGATGTGTGTTTTCAGACTGGAGTTTGTTTTCCTGCGTCTTTAACTAGAACTCAGCCAAGCCCAGAGTTTAGTGGAGTTCAGGAATGAATGTTCCACATTTGTTGAACTTCTCCAGAAATTCACCACACTGGGACCAGTAAGAGTGACCGTTAACGCTCTCAGTGCTGGCAGCGTCGCCAGGACTGTGTGGAGTTGAGACTCACTCATCTGTTCGTGTTTATTATGGATATCTGGATGAAAAGTTTTAGACTTTGTCTGTTGTAAAGGGAGAATGGCGGATAGGTGGGTCATGTGTTGTGTTCTGCAGTGAAGATCATGCCTTGTCCTGTTTCACTGATGTTCTGAACTGAACCCATGAGGGCAAAAAGCCCCTCTTAAGAAGAGCTTCAGTTTTCTGAATGAAACCATATCTGTGTGAGTTTGTCGTGCGCAGAAGAATGAAGCATAAACCAACACACAGTTATGAGATACAGTGCAGCACCTATTTGTTGTTTTTATAGCACAAAATAAAAAATAGTCTTTGTATTCCTTAAATTTATTACGCTGAGGTTCAACAATAAAGGTTTCATTTTATGTTAAAGCTCACTGATCAGTTTGTGTTAATGATTCCACTTTATGATAATAAGTTATGATGAATCACAGTTAAATAGAAACATCTAGTCTGGAAGAAATACCGTGTTACTTTAGCTTATTATTTAAGTTATTCTTATTATTATGTGGATTATAATAATAATGATGGAAATTACAGCACAAGTGATATTCATAATAAACAAAAGTAATTTATTTTCTTTCTGTAAGTATTTAACTAATTAATAAATGCAACAGATTGAAAAGTGCAAATAATGGATGCAGAATAATACAACAAATTTAGTGTCTAAAATCCAAGTAAACAGTATTCCTGGGGTAGTATGCTTCTTTTGGCAGACTTTCTCCCCAAAGGTCCAGCTATATATTTTTAGTTCAGGAGGGGAAAGCATCTATCTGAAAACCAAATGTGTTACTCCACAGCTCCCCATGGTTATATATTTTAGAGAACTTTTTTTTTGCACAGCATAATCTAAATCCATAGATTACTTTCATCCAGTGGGAAAAAAAAAGATTAACTGACCTTAATAAATCCCAGGACTGTGGGTGTCAGGATGAAATGTCAGAATTTATCAGACCATAGCCATTATTTTAACATTTAGATTAGCTTTAACTATATATTTGATAGTTACGCATTTGGAGAGTATTTTGCTTTGTTCAGGTGCTCATAAGACGGTGGTTAACTAGTAAGTACAGTTTCACTCCATGCTGTGTTTGTTGGAAGATACGACCACCACACAGAAAATGAAGGCATAGATAATCAAGGTTGAGAAAATATGCGTTCAGCTTTGTCTTCGCTATATTAAAAAGCACATGGATCACATAGAAGTGCATCAAGTATATTTTTTTCACATTTAACACTGGGTTTACTGTTTTGTTCTGACAGAAAAGATGAAAGATCACGTTACATGTAACATCTATTGTCCAGAGTCTGCGAGTTTCTCATCAGAAAATATGACTTTATTCTGTTTAAGGACAATTTACAAATCAGTGAATTGGTGTTTCTCAGTTTCCATCATCGCTCAGATACACTGTTACAAGCAGTCTCATTTCAAATTTATGGTCTTCAAATTAATTCTGACACTCTTCTGGAGATAACAACAACGATAAGGAAACTGAGACTTCATATTGTTTAATTTCTCTAAACCTGTTGTTCAGCTTTACTGATTAATGATTTAGTTGTCATTTCAGAGCAAACTGAGCCTGGGAGCAGCAGATACACTGAGCCAAAGATGCCTGTAGGGCCCAGAAAGGGTGAGTGTGATTATCCTCTGTAGTCTGAGAGAAAGGCAGTAACCAGTTTTTATATCTGCCCACATATCAGATATATTTATTCTGATAGATCATATTTAGGTGTGTTTTTTCTTAATTCTCTTCTTAATTAACTTGAAAAAGGTATCACCTAATTTGTAGGGATGCACATTGATATCGGGATTCAATCACTATTAGCAGAAAATTGGCTTAAAAATATTATCTTTGATTACTATTTCAAATCGATATTTCATGATAAATTTTTTGTACTCTGGAAGAGCTGAATGTTTAGGGGCCCCTGGGCTACTGCACTGAAATGTGTTTCATAATTTTTCTGTATGTGTAAACGTTATATTTCTCTGTAATCCTTCACCTTGATCTAGTCCTAATTTCTGCATTTTATATGTGTTTATGTATCAGCGTCATCTTAGATTTCCATTAAAAAGATGTGAGATCTTAGCATCGGTCCAGAGTTCCCCTGTCGGTGCATCTCTACTATTTTTGTTGTTTTATGTTTTCTGGATTGCTTTTGAAAAGTTGCATAGTTTAAGTATTTCAGAAGATATGCACTATTGAGAATCTGATTAACCAAGCTAGAGTTAAAATAATGTCTTTTCTACATTATGATATGTGGCCATGATGTCCAGTCATTTATTTTTTAAATAATTACAAGATCAGGGAGATCTTTTACAAATCAAGATTTTTAAATGAAGCTAGAGAATTTAGGCACAAAGTAAGGATTGCCAAATTAGAAAGCCCATCAACTCTTCTCTTTTTGGACAGTCTCATGTTTGAGCTTAAGTTATCTGGCTAACTGAAAAAAAATCAATGCACAGACACCATATTTTAACATGTTTTTTCCCTTCCTGACTCAGTAATGCTACTTCTTTCAGTTTAAGAAAGAAAAAAAAAAATCTTACTTAGTGCAGCCTTAAGTGTTTAATATTTAAGAGAAGCTTTGAAGGGAATTCCAAGATTTTTTCAACATTCGTATAATTAAACGGTTAATATGTAAACATTCAGAGAGGTTTGGTGTAAATTGCTCTGTTCTAGAGAAACTTTTACACGGAGTCAGAATTGTACACGGTGGTGGTGATAAGAACCAGACGTCCACCTCTAAGTTCCCACACAAAAAGTTACTACATGAATTGTTTATGAATAGCCTACCTGATGCCTGAGACATTGTTTCACGATAGTTTTGTGACGAAATTTCGGCCTAAAACGTCTTGTTAATTCCACTCATGGTGGAGGAATACATGCAGGGCGTCAGCAACATTGCATATAAAAATTCAGAAGACACGTGTAGGTTTGCAGTTGGTTTTGGATAATAAATAAAATGGCTGTATGCGTGTTGTAAACACGGTGACCCCTGGTTCCTATCACCACCACTGTGAAGAAATCTGAGTCTGTAACTTTCTCTACAATGAACCATTTTGCATCACATCAGCCCTGAATGACTTTGTTTACATCACAGCAGGAGAATTATGCAAAAAATGTTTCAAAATTGAGAGTTCCCCTTTAACCTGTTGTGCTCTGCATCGTTAGGTGCGCAGGGTGTAGAGGATGGGTCCGAAGATGAGGAAAACCAGCGCTGTCCTATCTGTCTGAACGTCCCCAGGCCTGCAGAACGTGCTGTGCCTGACAGCTGCAGCCACATCTACTGTTTCAACTGCATTGTGCGCTGGTCTCAGGTCTGCCTCGCTTATACTGGCATACAGAACAAATACAACTAGTCTCACATTTAATTTGTCTCAGTATGTCATGTTTGTTAGTACACCTTTGTACAATACTTGAGACTTGTAGTTCATGTAAAGACTTTATAAGTCCAATATTACTTGATTATTTTATGTCTAATGTTGCTGTCTCTGCATCTCTGCATTCATTTTCACATCACAAACCCAATTATCATGATTACTGTTTTGCCGTTACCATGTCTGACATGGCACAGATGGTGCAAGTCTGCCCAGTGGACCGGAGGCCTTTTAGTGCAGTCTGCAGACAGGACCCTGTGCTGGGATTCATCAAGGTCAGACATTCTCTACAGGTCTGTCTTTATCAGAGGGGATTATTCCTCTCCTGCTACTTGTCATGGCCTAATGGACCTATCCTCTGTCTACAGATTCCTGTGAAAATATCAAGCATATCAAACACTGATATATGCAGCCGTGAAAATGGTGAAACAGTGAGAGGATTTTCAAAGTAAGTTTTTTCTTTTTGTGTGCGTTTTTCCCCTTTCATATTAACTGGTTTTCTTATGTGCTACAGTGATACAGTTCCCTGAATAAATGTCAAGTGTGCTTGTGCATTTTAGCTGATTAATATTGTTGACTATAGGGAGGAGACCACAAAAATGGGAGAAAAGGAGGGGAAAAGAGCCTATGCTAAGCCTACGCTGAAACGTCAAATACGTATGTACTTCATTTAATTGCAAGAATTTCAAACTGATCACAGGTCTTGAAGAATGGTGACAATGTTTATTCAAAAACTACAAACAAAATGTTTTTTCAGTAAAGTTATGTTTACTAAAATGCAGTTAATTGTACATGTTGGCTACCAGCAGGTGATACTGATTCTTCGGCCCAGAAGAAGAAAAAGGTTTGTTCGAGCTCTTTCTGACACTATTTCCATTGTTTTATTTTGATTTATTTTATCAGTTTAAAGATATTTCCATCCATGAATGTATGTTGCAAAATAGTCCATTTAATTCTCTGTACAGATGAAAGGTGAGAGATGCCACTCACAGCTGCTTACTCAAAATGTTCAGCCTGGGCTCTTAGCCCAGCAGGGGGCGACACTCAACATGCTGACCCAAATCATGTAAGTATTCTACAACAGCGGGACAACATAACTACTAATTTTGAAGTAACTAAAACACAATGACAAAGACAGCTAGACAGGTAAGGCATTAGGTTGACTAACATTAACAACAAGATTTCCAGCTGTTTCAGCTATAAAAGAGGTGCAACAACTAGGGATGCATTGATATCGGTATGGGGCTGACGCTGTGCTCATTTACTCGTAAAAAATCACTGATACCAATATTCCGATACCTGCTGATACCTGTGAAGTAAGATGAGTGTACATCGCCGCTCTAATGAATAAACGACGCAGGCTGTCAGTGAAGGAGAGTCTGATCACACAGAGAAGTGTTACTGATCTTTGTAATATAGGCTGTAGAGAGACTGTATTGTCCTACCAAGTACTTCACCACCTGACTTTTAGCTTCAGTGCACAGTGTTAGCAGCGCTGTTCTGTTTCTCTATGTTCAGTAGTCGGTGCGCAGCGTGTTTCAAATAAAGCTGTATAAAACAGCTTTATTTGAAATTGTTCATGGACTGAGTGTTCTTTTACCTAGCATAGACCAAGCGTTTTCATACAGTGTGAGTATGTAAATTGCAGGCTTTGTCCATACATGATAGTCTGTTCAAATATATGGTGTGAATCACCAAAGAATAAGAGTTTTAAAATCACACAGTGTGTATCAGGATTTAGAGGACGTTTTAGTTACAGCTCAACCAGCCAAACAAAATGCTTCAGTCGTAAAACTCCACAAGTGAGCTCCTCGGATGCGTTAGCCTCAAACGTGATTCCTTTAACTTTACTTAAAGCCGTACAGAAACAATTTTCTGACAAGAAAAAAAGAGTGGGAACTCACCCACTCTTCTCCACTGCAGCGCTACTCAATCCAAGGTAACTAATGTAGCATAGTTAGCTTATGCATGTCATTTAAAATCAGCTAGACTTTCATGATTTAATTGTCAAGGTACATTACACTCATTTATACTAACAACGACTTAAGTATAAGTATGTTACTCAGTATGGTATCGGCGAGTACTGAAAAATGTGTACTCCTAGTCTGTTTGGGGGGGAAAAAAGGTGTCGATGCATCACTAGCAGCAACACATCTTTTACAGCTAAATAATGCTGGAGTTTTAAAGTAACGTGAGTGTCAAAGAGACCAACTAGTAAGTCCACTAATTGCTGGAGTGTTTATCACAAAAAAAACACATTTTTGAAATGATTTGACACTTTTTTTGTTTGTTTTATTGAATACTATGGGTGCGGGAAAAACTCAATTCTTAGATGCATCGCGATGCGGACCTGAACGATTCTGAATCGATTCATTCAACGTCAAAAATCGATTTTCTAAATATTTAATTTATAACGTAATGTTGACGGAACGCAAAAGGCTGAACTGGAAGTGGGGAAGTGCAGCGCCCGGACAGTCTGTGGCGGCACATAACAAAAACACTACTGGAGGAGCGAGAAATCCGACCGGCTCCCTCTGCATTAAAAGCCAGGTTAGGTCAGGAGTCACAACACAAATGATAAGAAGAGCCATTTTGCCTTTCAACGAAGTCAACCCACCTTGGGAGCCACAACATTTAATGCCCAGTGTGTCTCAGTGTGTGATAATGTCCTAGTATGGGCTAAAAATCTAAACGAGAGCACAGATTTCCTTCGCTCTGCTTTAAGCTTTAGCTATAGCCGCTTTCCTCCCGTCTCCACCAGAAAACTTTTCTTCAAAACTAGAAGAGTTTCTTGTAAAATGTCTCAGCTTTCGGCTGTTTTACGAGGCTGAAGTCGCTTCTCATTCGCCAGTTTCTCATTCTAATTTTCCCGTTCCACCTTAAATTCTGCCTTAGGCGCCGAATGTAACTGCTGCACCATTTAAGGTGGAACGGGAAAATACGAAAGAGAAGCGAGTTAATTTTCGCAACTTTTTAGAGAAAGACAGTCTCTCAGCAGGTTTAACCAACCGCGCTGCTTATAAATGCGAATAAGTCCTCCAAATGTTCGTCTTAATTTCTGTTTTTTCATTCGCTACTGGCGAGGCCAGACCTCCGGGCTATGTGACCTGCTGTCTGTTCTCAGTCGTTGAGAACCAGGGCTTTTGCGTTATGCTGCACACTTTGGAGCCGAGATTCAGCGTCCAGTCTCGAAAATACCCCCCCACTCTCTACAACGAGACCAAAAGGGTGGCTGTAACGTACTGTGTGGACACCCATTGCCACTGGATCTTATTTCAGGGCAACAGCGCATTTTATCGCAGATGAGTGGCAGCAGCGTCTCTGAGTGAGAGCCTTCTAGTTCACTTGCCACATCACTTCCATTTGATTTATTAATAAAAGATATTTTAGATATTTAAAGCAAAGTATTTGTAATGATCCATAATGCATTTACATTATGGATTATTACAAATACTTTGCTTTAAAACTACCAAGTCCTTAGACAGTGGGAAGATAGAAAACATGTATAGAGAAAAAAGATGCATCGATAATCGTTTTAAAATCGCATCGCAGCCCTCTGAATCGTAATCGAATCGTGAGGTGCCTAAAGATTCCCACCCCTATTGAATACATTTTTGTCAAATAGTCACAAGATTTATTACAGCATAGGCAAACTGCAATGACAAAGCGGACTGGTGGTAGAAACTAACTGGCAGTGTTTGACAGTGATTAAACACCACAAAAATATGGCTTGAAAATATCAAATCATCCCCTCTTTTGCCCACTCTCAATAAAATGGATTTCTTGAGCTTTATAATGCTGTAATATAGGTAGGATTGCAGTTCAGAAAGTGCTTTTATCTGAAATGTAACTTGGTTTAATGAGCACCAAACCTGGACATTGTTTTTTAGATTTTACCCCTCTTCAGCTTATAGCACAGGGTCTCCACCCTGTGGAGCAGTTGAATTGCGGTCGTTGGAGTGATAAAACACCATCATATACTTTTGAAATGAGTTGTTTTTGATCCAGATCATCGATCACAAATCTAACATCAGTACTTGACCTCACTGAACTCTTGTTGCTGAGTACATTCAAATCTAATATCTAGTGTGAAGCCTTTCAAGAAGAATAGAGGCCGTTACTGCAGTAAATGGGTTACAAACTCCCTGTTAATACCCTTGATTTCAGAAGAAATATTCCAAGAATAGGTGTCTACACACTTTTCAACAGGGAATTAAGTCTAGTCCTAGTCCTGGATACTTCAGGATTTTAAATGGAAATTTTCATTGAATAGACAATTTTCTCCATGCCTGGCTATACTCTAGTCCCTGTCCAGTAAGCGAGCTTGTAGTGTTTGTAAACTAGTAATGACCAATTTCTTCAATTGAAATGTGTTAACTTGTTCACAGAAGTTCAAGGTACTAATTTTTGAATTACAAGACCAGTGATGTTTTCAGTGGCTTTTGTTTAAACAGTCCTTTTAAAATGAATGCTCTAATCGTTGTTGATATCGCTCTGCAGCACAGAGTCTATAGTGTCCGAGGAGGAGCCAGTAGACGAGGAATGGAGACTGTGTCGGAGAAATATGATGGAGCATCATTGGCTGCATGTTCCTGTACTCACTTCATCTACACACCCGGCAAGGTGAAAAACCACTCACACCCCTCAGTTATATGTAATACCTTTTTTTGTTTGAGCATCAGACTTACATGATTATCAGTTATAGCCAACCAGAGTGTCTAATAACATTTTTCCAAAGTACGATTAGTATTAATCAGAGTCTTATTTAAGTAGCTTTGTAATTCATTATATTTATTAAGTTACTCACTGTCTTACTTTCTGGAATCAGCATTCTTTCCAGACACTGCCCTCGTGCTCATGCACTTCCTCAGCAGCCCCACGTCATACCATCTACCTCTCCATGTCCACTGAGATCTGGTATCTCAGGTAAGTTCTATGAAACGTGCCCTTATGTAATGGCAGTCTTTCTCCCTGACCAACATATCACAGCATAGTAGAGTAGAAGGTGACATTTAATTTTGAACACTGAATTGGTTGGTAACCTTTAAGGTAATTCATTACTTGTTTTGCATCTCCCAGTTCTTTATGGAAAGGTTTGTGCAGTCACATGTTCCAAAGGTGAGGGAAGAAAGGGTACGAGAGGATCTGGATCCAAAAACTCTACCAATCAAGAAAAGAACGTTGCATCTCAGCGCGCATCCAGAAAGAGAAAAGGTGTGAATGAGGAGCCTTTATCCACTCACTCTCAGCAGTCACAGTCAGACCCTGACTCCTCCTCTCCTACTGGCAGTGCATCAAGTGACATGCATGCTTCCACAAGCAGAGAAAAGCAGGCTGGAAAACAGAAACCTGGCAAAAGGAAAGGAGGCTCAAAAAAGAAGCCTGCTCGACAAGCAGTAGTTGAAAGTGAGGAAGAGGACAAAGAGAAAGAAGAGGAAGCTGGACAGGGAAGTCAAGTGGAAATGGCTGTTGTTGTGGAAGAGTCACATGAAATGGGGACTGATGAGGAGGCAAAAGCGAGTCCCTGTCAAGGAGATGTAGGAGTAGATATGGATGTAGGCTCAGATTCTGTTGATCATAGTGGAGATGAGTTGGAAAAGGACACTGAAGATCTGCTGAATCCCATAGAGAGTGAACCTGACTCACCTCTCTTCAAACAGAGTGATGAGGAAACAAAGACAGAGAATGACGACAGTCAGGACAATCAGATATCCTCTCAAGAGAAGCTGGATTGTTCTGAAGAGGAGGCACCTGAGATGGAACCAGCAGAACCTGAGAGAGAACCATCTGTTGAAAAGGAAGACCATCTCTCTTCTTTCTGTGCAGAGCAGATAAAGGTAGCGGAATCTAGTGACACCTCTGACAGTTTAACTGCCCAACCTCAGGATGATTTGACTACTGCAGCAGTGAGCTCATCAGACAATATAACTGATCAGAAACCAGAATCTGAAGCTCCAGAAGAGCCAGATGGATGTGACAGTGTAACAGATGAGGTTTGCAAACTTCCTCCATCTGGCAGCTGCTCATCTGAACATACAGTTGAAAACTGTTCTGTAAAAGATCAGGAACTTCAAGTGACTTCAGAGACAAAGCAAGAGAGTTCTTTGGACATAAGTGGTCATCAAGATAACACTGATTCCATTCCTATGGATTGTGACTCACCTGGCTCAGACAACACTTCCCTTCTTCCTGAGGGTTCTGAGAGTAATAGTGTTGCTCTTGCACCTCAGATCTCTACTGCTGATCAAAACTCCAGTCAGGACAGAGAACAGAAGGACCAGGCACACGAGCCCAAGTCTGAGCCTTCAAAAGACCAGCGAGGCTCAGACAGGAGAGATGGCCGGCAGCGCAAATCTCGTTTCCACTCGCCCACAACTACTTGGTCCCCTAAGAGGGAGTCTAGAGGGGAAGGGTCACGGAGATCCCGGTCAAGGGATCGTGATCGCAGTCGTAATGCAAGCTCACCGCCCAGGGGTCGAGGCCGTGAGCATGAAAACGACCGAGGTAGCTCCAGGCGGAATCGCAGCAGAGACCGGCGAAGCCGGAGGCGTTCTCGCAGTCGTTCTAGAAGTCGCTCGAGATCACGCTCCAGGTCAAGAAACAGGCCAAACCGCAGAAGTCTGTCTCCAGAACGCATTGATCAAGGGGCACAGTCACCACGGAAAAGAGATTCTTGGGGAGGTGAAGGCTGGCGGGGAGCGCGTACTTACCGCAATTCCAACTGGAGGAACAATCCAGAAAGACAGAATCAGTTTTCAGCAAGAGAGCCCAACTCGGGCAACGGCAACTTCCATGAGACCTCGCCAGACAGAGGTCAGTCCGAAAATCCTCACTGGGTGAAGGAAAGGTCGTGGGGGAATGCTGACAGCAGGGAGCGTGAGCAGCGTTTGGAGGAGAATTCTGACACTCCTGCAGACTCTTGGACTCGAGGAGGCTGGAACTCTGAACATGGGCGTGGCGGTGGACGTGGTCGGGGTGGGCAGCGTAACTCTTTCTCAGGGATGACAAATAATGCAGGGAGTGACTCCTACAGTCGCTTTAATGAGAACAGACCTGGAGGAAAAAGGAAGGAGCCTGAGAGCTCTGATACACCATTGGATCGGTCAGGATGGTCTTCTGCTTCCAGCTGGGCAGTGCGCCGAACACTGCCTGCTGATGTACAGAACTACTACTCACGAAGAGAACGAGGGCCTGGGACAGGTGGCAGCATCTGGAATAGACAAGAGGAGGACCAGCCAGCAGCTGGTTTCTCCAAACAAACAGGTGTGTATTTGAAAGAAATGTATTTATTTATTTATTTGTTGCGTTTATGTATAATGCTATTCAAAAGATTGAGTGTATTAGCTTACTTGATCACATGTGTTCTTATGAGAATGAAGTTGTCTGTAATCACTGACATATCATTAAGGTCGCATGGTCACAAATCAGGCATATAGCTGATCTAGAAGTACATATAAAAGTGGCTGAGATCTGATTTAAAAAGATAAGATGTGACTCCCCACAGCTCTGATCTGTGTCGCATTAGGCAAAAAAAAGGTTTTGGCCACTTAAATATTAGCAGCAAGGTTCAGTCAATACTTTTAATATTCGCAAAGTCTGTGGTACCCAATACTGGTCAGGATAGCTGCATTAGTTTTGCTGTCCATTATTATGTGTACGTAAAGTCATGTTCACATAATTGAAACTTTTATTTCAGATCCTCCACAGAGTGAGCCAAGTACCCATCTACCTAATGAAGCAGTGCCAGCCCCACCTGCTGTAATGCCCCACCAGGTCAATGCGCTGGGAGTCTTGCGCTACCCAATGGGGCCGCTGGGACCACGAGTCCCTACTGTCGGTCTTCAGCCCCCTCCGTTTGCCATGCCCCCACAGATACCTGTACACCTGCATCCGCCAGGACCTCCTCTACCGATACCCTCCATAGCTGTGCAGAGTCTGCCACCGCCCCCTCCACCACCTCCCCCTGTACAGCAGGGCAGCCTCACTGTTCTGCCTGCTGAAAGCCTCCCTCAGGTTGGTTATGCATCTATTGTTGTTCTTTATTTCCAGACTTTTTTTTGTTTCTGCCTCATTTTTGTTGTGGTGGTAAAGGCATAGCATAATGTTACATGGTCCTGCTGGACTGCAATAAAATGGCTGTTGGGCACTGTGCAGGATTTGAATGTGTGTGTGCTTTTCACCAGGTCATTACAAGTTTCGCTGTGCCAGCAAAAGTCCCCTTGAAAGTGACAGCAAACAAGGCAGCACCATTGCAGGCTCAGCCTACTAGCACACCAAGTGTAGCCCAGCCATCTTCCACTACTCAACCCCCGTCTCACAGCAAAGCCCATGCAGACAGCTCCAAGAAAGAAAAGGTAAGTGGTTTCTGTTTAGGTCATCATTAGGCATGTGCCAGTATGTAAGACTTAACTTGAGAACCTTGTATCACATAATCAGAGCATGACAGTGTAGTGGGAGCTTGTGAAAACAGAGCTGATCTGCTCATCTAAAAATCTACGGTAAAACTGCAACTTGTTTTGGAAAGTTGCATCAACTGCATGTCCACAATAACGCTGCTGTGCATGTTTAATATCATGGTATACTAAATTACCGGACACTGGCACATGTTTAGTCATAAACCAGAAACCTAGTTTTACTTTGAGATGTTCTGTCAAACTGACATTGAATTTTGACACAGAAATTACAGATTCAGGAAAGAGCCATCACTGAGGTGAAAGCAGCCATCAAGCCATACTATCAGAAGAAGGATATCACCAAGGAAGAATACAAAGAGATTGTACGCAAAGCTGTAGAAAAAGTAAGTGAGCATTTGTTTTACTGTCTCTCCGCAGGTTAAGTTTGATGTGCAGGTTGCAAGTCCTTGAGTAACTGAGTTAACCACACTAAATGGCCAAAAGAATGTGCACAGGCTGTTTATTTATTAGGTTCAGCTATTTCAGCCACAACTACTGCTATCAAGTGCATAATATCAAATGTACAGCAATACAGTCTCTTTAGCCAACCCTGGCAGCAGAATGGGTTGTACTGAAGAGCTCAGTGAATTCCAGCATGACGCTGTCAAAAAATGCCACCTTTTCAACAAGTCGATTGAACAAGCTCACAGAACGGAACCACAGAGTGCTGAAGCACACATCGTGTAAAAATTACATGTGGTTAAACTGCTTCTGTCTGCCCAAGAACTCTTCTCTGTAAGCTTCATAGATGAAGTAGCGTAAAGAATTCTGCTATTAGTCTCTGGACATGTGGAAGTGCATTCTCTGGAGAGATGAATTACACTTCACTGTCTGGCAGTCTGATGTCTTAATGCCATATTAATGGCCATTGTTTTGGAGTGAGCAGTTCAGCGAACTCATACAAATGTGATGTTTGGAAGACCACACGCTTTTGGCCATGTAGTGTATGTAGGCTAAGTGCACTGATGTATACACCTGCCACTCTTTGAGTTGTGGGTTGAGGGACCATACAGGTCCTGAAATATTTGGTGCTCATGGAGAAACATGGTGTGCAGAGGCAGAACATTTTGGTGCAGGGTTTAATATGCACGCTAGGAGCAGCTCTCTAATGTTATTGGACATGTACATTTTGCCAAAGAGGCTTCAGTGCACTTCATTAGAATATGCTGTTTATTTGTCCAGGTTATGATGTTAAAAAACATGTCTTGGGTAGCATTAGTTCTCCCAGTAAAATTGCTAGATTTCATAGATATTGCTGTTTGTAGACACGAGTGTCTCAAGGCTGCAGATAGATTTGAGTTGTCAGTTAATTAGGCACCCTCCTTAACCTTCACACAAGTTGTACCTTATAATCTGTCATATATCACATGACTCCACTGTGTGGTACAAATAAGGCAGACCAATGTTTCTAGCATCATTTACTGGTCCACTGAGCTTTGGAATGGGCAAAACGGGTAACTTTGAATGTGACATCATACTTGGCACTAAGCGTCTCTTTTTCAAACAGCTACCATCCTGAACCTTTCACGCACAACCATTTCAAGGTCTTACTAAGAATAGTGTGGAAAACAAAAAGCAGTTTGTGGATCAAAGGGCGTCGAAGGATTGCCCAGCAAACAGACCGGCCACAGAAATCGCATCCAAATTCAACACCGGTGTGCAAAATGTCATGTCAGAACGTATCACTTCTCAGACTTTGTCCTGAATGGGCTACAACAACTTATGTTGTCATACCAACAATCAAGACTATGTCAGGTGGTGATGCCAGTGAAATGTGCATGGGTTCTTGAGTACTCAGTTAATCGTTAGAGTTGCTAGTAATCAAATACTGAAATCACGTATTCAGGTATTTAGTATGTTCCAACATGGGAAGACAGAAAACATAAACACTAACAGGTCAGTCAAATGGCAATTGTATGTTGAACAGTACAGTAAAATGTGGTGAGTTTGCTCCTCAAACACGAGTGTGTTAAAGGGCGTGCGTTGCCAAGGACATGCATTGTTAAGGAAGTGGCTGAGAAGGCAGAGACTGCGCGGCCTGGTGCGACTAGTGCAAACTACTTTAGCTGACATTAGGCAGGTCCAGAAACAGTGAAAATATATTTAGCTGTCAATCTAATTTCAGCATACTGGCCACCTGTAAGCAAACAGTGAGTCCTCATCAGCAGTGTTGTACTGATTAGCTCTAGTTTTACAGCTTATTAGTTCAGGAGGAATCCTGTTACTCATCAACATGAAACCAGATTTTCCTTGGTTATTTTGGGCAACACCAGTGCTTTCACCTAAAAAGGTGAGCTTATATTTTCAGCCAAAGTCTGTTGGTTTTGTTTCTTTTTCCTTTCACCATGCAGTTAACGTTTTTTCTGTTCATTGTCCCTTACGGATACTTGAATGTCAAAATTAGTGAGAATGCATATCCCTACTACAAAGGAGCATCAAACCTGGACAGTTGAGGAGAGGACAGAAGTGTTGCCTGATTGGACACACTCGCATTGCTTATCCACTGATTGAGGCATGGGAATTTGGCACAAGTCCTTGGAGGCATCCTGTTTTAGACTGGTGTAGCCCAGAGGTGCCGGTTTTCATTGTTTGTTCAGCCTGCATAGTCCCTGGACCTCAACCCTCTTCTCACCAAGACTGCAGTCGTCCAATTAGCAGCAACATTCGGTACAACATACAACAGTGCAGCTAGCACATTGTAGAATTCAGGCCAAAGGAAAGCGGCTCCCTACTAATAAACTGGCAAATCTGTGTATATTGCCTTTAAGTGAAAAGAAAACAACCATTGCAGTTTTTCTTCTGGTGAACAGTGAAGAACTCTGCAGTTTTCTGTTGATGTGAGAAATGTGACCATAAAACCTTGACCTGCACGCCATGAGTATTTTACATAGTGGAAATGCAGTAGTGTGATTTATAACACAGTTAGAAAACCCTGAGAATTGTCTCTGTTGTAAGGTCTAATTTCAAGCTTTGCTTTTTTCAGGTCTGCCACAGCAAGAGTGGAGAGGTTAATGCCGATAAAGTGGCCAACCTTGTCAAAGCATACGTCGACAAATACAAGCACGTTCGCAAGAACAAAACGGACAAAAACTGAGGGAGACTGCTCTGACGCCCGCACAAGTGCAATTTCTCCAAAAATGGCCTCACAGGCTGATATGACTGGAGCTTCTTTTCATATTTGCAGACAATAATGAAGATTTTTCTATAGATTGCATATTTTGTTTAATTTGGATTTCATATAGTGCAACTGCCCTTTAATTGCTTTTTCTTTTGAGGTGGGGGGGTTGGGGGGGTGGCTGCTGTAAACATGAGCAAATGTGTACTTGAGGGGTAGGATGGGGGTTACTCTTTACTTTAAGATCTTTAGCTGTGTTTGATTACATTGCAGGCATTTTTTCAATCTGTGGAGTAGCTGTAAGTGGTTAATCACATGAACAGAGTGGTACTTCTGTATCTGTCTCTCGCACTCGCGCTCTCTCTCTCTTTGTCCCATGGACCTTAATGAAGTAACGGCATTAAAGTTCGTCTTCATTTTGCTTTTTTTTATGCTTCAGAATCTTGAAGTCCTGAATAAATGTGCATTGGCTCTGTTATTCCTGGTGGAGATTCAGTGAGCTGGCTGTGTGTGTATGTGGATCATGAACATTAGTTTAAGGGAGGATGTGGACAGCTTGTCAGTGAAATAGGAACCGAGCTGTTGGTGTAAATGCAGCTTAATTCCCCAAACTGCTGTACTGCACAACCATTGTATTTATTTACCTCCCACATCACTAAAATAAACAGGCTGTCAGTTACCCCTTCGTATTTGTTTTGATCAGATTTTTTCCCCGTAGTTATTTTAGGATCATAAGACAAAGTAATATTTTAAAGCTGTCAGTATGTTTAGATTCTGTGCAGGGTATGATGATAATGGTCATCTGTGTCTGCCAGAAATGTAAAAACTGTACATTTATGAATACTTGTTAGTGTTTATCATGTACTGTTTAATACTGTCCTAAAGGAAGTGTAGAGATTGAACTTTCCCTTCTTACTGTTATGTGCAAGAATAAAATATATTTTGAACATTGAATAGCTTGACAGAAAATTATAGTGAGCGTGTCATTAATATTCAAAAGGGTGAAAAGCAGTTGCATAATTCACTGTATACTTTTTAAAGACCTTCAACATTCAAAGATTTGTGATTGGGAGATTGACTAAAATTAGTTAAGAATGAATGATATAACTACTGTTCTGAGTTAAGTAATGACATTTATAGATATGTGTATTAATTGAGTTCACTGGTGATTAATTTTCTTCCCTTTGTCTTTGCGTTTACACCTGAAATGAAAAGTCAGTGTATTATGACTACAGCATAAAACTATTGAGGCTTTTCATAAAGCATGGCTTACTTTTTCCTCTTATTAAACAGTAATGACTTTTGGATTGTCTGGCTGGAAAATATCACTTTATGGAATACTAACAATTTCAGAAATGACTTATCCCAGTCTGTACATTAAGCATTGCATTCAGCAGGTTTGCTGTGAACAAGGATCACCTCAGGAAGCTGAAAGAGGCATTCTGTGCAGTTGTGTCACGTCACTGACGTGTTCCTTAGGCCCACCTCTAAGGACTGAACCGTCATGGCCTTCTTGATCCAGATTGAGACCCAATTTATTACTTTCTTATGTAGATCTGATCTTATAATGATCATATGTGAAAACTGACATGTAAGTAGAGATTTATAAAAAGTGAATTTGACCTGAAAATGTGTGATGAAACCAGAACTTGATGTATGATTGGCAGTCTGAGTGTGGTAGAGTGTGGTAGTCAATAGGGTCTGTGACTCATGAACATTGAGTTTTTATTAATCAGTTGCACAATTTCTCACCAATGCTGAGAACTCAGGAACAAATTTAGTATGAAATTCATGTCTGTTTTGTTAACAAGGCCCCAAGGTGTGTTGAAGCAGGAAGAGCTGAGACTGCAGTGCTGAGGGTCCTCAGAAACACTGATCTAGAATGATAGAATATTTGTCCAGTCCTACCAGTCAAGTGACTGATTTTCTGTCGTTGTCCAGCACTCATGTAGTACAGGTATTCCCTAGTACTAAATAGTTCCTTTTATTTTAACTGTCTACATCAAAAGAGGGACAAGATTACTTCAGTATCCTGAAACATGAATCCACATGTACTGAACTCCCCAACAATTAAGTCTAAACCGCCCAAATTACACGTTTAGTTTTTATTAGATTTCTCAACATGAAGAGGCCAAAAATGAGACCCAAACAAAAAATAAATAAGAAAAAAGGTGAGGGGCAATGGGGAAAGCACCTTTCGCCTTCGGAGATAAATGGCACACAAAAATGCGGAACAAACATCGCCAAAGAAAACCCTCATCTCAAACAATGGCAAAAATGTTCAGTCTTTTATTTAAAAACTATAAACAGTCACCCAAGTAAATTAAGCCAACCTAGAACAGACTGTTAGGTATAGGTATATATCGCACACCCTACTGACACTGCAGAAATGGTGAAGGGGGGAGCCCCCCGCTTGGATGCTAACACAACAGGCAGTTATAAATGTTACACGACACACTGTAGGGAGGACAGCCTGGGAAGCAGGGAGCCGGAATGTGGCATGGTATTAAGAATGAAAAAATAGTACGATAAAATTCCACACTATATTAAGATAGAAAAAAGGTAGGGAGGAAAATATCATATGCACAGAAAGCAAATAACACAGGAGAAAACCTGTATAAAACTCCATGTATTTAAACCAATTTACAAATACAAAAAGAATTCGGTACGGGCAGAGGGCTCGTACAGTGACGCTTATAGTGGATACATGTTGGAGGGGGGAAATACCTTCAATATTTGTGGTTTTTTTTTTTTGCTCTTCTACAAAATAACATGAGATATATTATTCCATACTCTTTCAGCCAGCAAAATGAGTTCTACAAGTAATAATAGTACAAAAATGGAAAAGAAAAAAAAAGGGAAAAAAAAAATCAAATCACAGTTCCACAAAAAACCTGTTCCCCATCCCCCTCCCTAAACTTTACAGCATCAGTACCTTTGTAGAATATTTACAAGTTTAAGTACATTCATCCACTGCTGAGTATAGAATCACATCTCATACAAGTAACCAGGGATCCAAAAAAAAGAATTCTGAAACTACCAAGATAATGCTTCTGATACTCCACAGAGTGAACTCTCCAGTGGCTGCAGCGGCATGAAAGATGATTTTTTTTTCTCTTTTTTACTTTATATTTATTCACAAATATTTACAAGATTTTTTTTTTCTCATTTAATCATATTGGTATTTATTTCAATAATAAATAAGTGAAAATATAATCGGCTCAAGTAAGAAAACCAAAGCTATCAAGTTCTAAAGAAAAAAACAAACAATCTAGCCACACCTCTGTTGCCCCTGCTCCACCCCCTCATCCACTGACCCCTCCCACACCTCCTCCCACCCAATCCGAAGCCCCTGCCCCTACCACCATCCTCCAGGACCAGAAAAATGTGCTCATTCGGTGGGGAGTGGAGAGGCGGCTTGTTTCGGGCTGGGGGCGGAGAGGTGGCTCGTTTCGAAAGAGTTGAGCGTGCGCTGGTTTCTGAGTGGCTGGTGGAAGACCCGTGGCAGTTTGTAAGTGAGTGTGGGGTGGTGGGGCGGTGCAGAAATCCCAACGCACAGAGAATGGAATGGAGGGAGTGGTGAGAAGAGGGGAGGAGAGGCATCGCCCACGGCCGCGATCGCCGGCACCGTGTGTGCCGACACAGGACGAAATTTCTTTTTTCCATTTCAATGTTTTTGGGTTCAGCTGGGCTCAAGCCTGCAGAGAGCGCGCGAGTTCGTAAAGGCATTTAGCGAGTGTGGTGGAAACCTCCATACTGCTGAGTGCCAGCACAGAGAGGTGGCTCTCATGCCGCTTCACCAACCTGCAGACACACAAGGGACATGTTTACCCAACCGCACATATTGGCAGCGAGACAGTCTAAGATATTTTATAACCAAAGCGTCCATTTAGAAGAAGCTCTCAAAGTAAATGAAAAGCAATCAGCTATGAGAGGCAGTCACTTTAGTTATTTTACCACAGTTAAATGGTGTTGACACAAAGGACAATAGCTAAAACCTACTCAGCTGTGATAAAACCACGGACACACGGCCTTAAGTGGCTTATTGCTTTTACAAAAGCAGCCAAAATACAATATCCAATGGAGCCATGTAATTCACCAAGTAATGCAGTTTAACAGGAGGCTATGGTCGCTACACAATGGTCAAAGATTACTGCAAGAACATTAGACTGATTTTAATAATTTGGTGTATTAATTCAGAATTCAGTTTGTGTGTCGTCACTGAGTGCATATCAGGTGTGCATTTTACAACAGCATCAAAAGTCTCTTTATCGTTTTATTAACCTGTGTTTACGATGCATAAGGTTTATATTTAATCTGACAGGGCAGTGCGGCCTTAAAACAGTTCAACGATAAAGTGCATTGTCAGTTTCAGAGTACATACTGAAGGTACATCTGTCAGTAGAACAGCCTCTTATCTACATCATTACCTTCATGTATACAAGCCAGATGAAACTTTGCTCAGCCGCAAAACTAACAGCTCTTCATAAAGTAGCAGGTCATGATTTCATATCTATGAGATTGTTTAACCTCAAAAGGTTTATTTATATTTACTAGTCAGAAAGATGGTAAACATTTCTGAGTCTCACTTACTTTCGTCCACAGTCTGAATACTTGGCGATGTTCTTTAACGTTAAGGCAGCAGTTAATCTAATATGTTTGGTCATTGGTCCCTCTTTATCATCCTACAAAAAGGAAGAGACAAAATGTGAGAATCTTTTTTTCTTTTATATGTATAATTACTCAACTACTGATTTTTCACACTGCAGTCCTGATACATCAGATAACTCAACAAAAACTGATGCATCACCACTGCAGTTACAGCAACACAAGGAAGTAAATCTAACAGAAACAAAACTGGTATCTACATTATTTTCAGGCATATATACAGTACTGTGCAGACGTCTTCGGCATTCAAGGATCAGCAAGAAGTGCCATTAAAGTACTAGATAATTTTGAAATAAATAAAAATAAACAAATAAAGTAACATTTCTTTGACTTTTAAAAACGTATTAATGTTTTAGTTAAAAGTGTCTTTTCTGACTTTTCACTGAACTCAAATTCCATCAGGACAGATTAGCTGAGGCAGAAGTTGGATGTTAACTGTAAAACACTGGACTCCCTGAAGGAGAGTATAGACTGATTTTTACAGTCCAAATAAATGACTTTACATACATTAATCAGATGCTTAACATGTTTACACAGTACTGTATATTAATGAGATACTGTGTGGTGAATTACTCACAGTGAAGTCCCTGAACACCAGGTTGCGCGACCCGCGGCGCAGAGCCATTAGAGCCGCACTGGGGTGATTGACTATAGCTTTCTGTGGCCTGGGAGGAGCTGGACTACCGCCTGCCAGTGGAGGAGACCTAAACGCAGCACACAAACACATCAGCACATCCGCTATATTTAAACATGCTGCCACACACATTAAATATATGCATGTATATGTGTACTAAACTTGGCTGTTAATCAGATGGTACTATGGTTTGCTAATTTCACGTGAAGCCCACGCACAGGCCAGATAGATCAAACACTGGAGGAACTCCAGAAAAGTAAAAGGATTTCTAAAAACAGACATAACTCTCTGTTGAACAGTTGATCTGAATTAGTAAATTAAAACATCACAAACAATATTACAATACAACAAGCACTGCTTTATAGGATGCAAACCTTAAAATCAATGAAATTATTAGTGCATCTGTATCATGGTTATATATAAACACTTAACAGAATTGTCCAGTATTCTCGTAAAAAGAAACTAACAAAAGTGAGTCAGAGTGGTCAGTAGGTCAGTTGAGGCTCTTTCATGGATTTAAGTTGAAGTTGAATACTGCAGCATTAGAACAGCGGTGCAGTCTTGACTTAGACTGTGAAGAACAGCAGGTCTTCCAGCAATATCTACAAAGGCTTATACATACAGGTGCCTGCTATAGCACGCCTGGTTCTAA